GGGGTGCTGCTATTGTTGATCGGGTGATGAGGGAGAAATGGCGACTGCGATTGAGGGAATTAATTTTTTTAGGATTGGAAATCAAGACCGAAATTAAGCACGAAATCGGTTCACGCAATCGAAACTAAAAATGAATCCGTGAAGTAGGAGAAAAAATAATCCTAGAAATTAGTTCTAGGCGGGAGGGGTGCAAACTTTGTATTTTTCGATTTTTTGTAATTTTTATTTTTTTATTATTTTTTTGTTTTGTTTTTGCATTTTGGTCACTCGTAAATTGTTATTAGGTCAATTTGGTCCTTGTCCAATGTAATCTGGCTCTTGAATTTTTAAATGATTCGATTGTATCCTCAATTATTATAATACTTTTGAATTTATTACAATTGCATCCCCGAATATTAAATTCACCTTGTTTTTTTGTATTTTTGTATATATATATATATATATATATATATATATATATATATATATATATATATATATTGGCATTTTGCACATTATTAAGAAAAATGGAATAAATAAAAATAATAACATTGATTAAGATAAGAAAAATAAATAAAAAATAAAAAAACTTAAAATAAAAGAAAACAAATAATCAATTAAAAATAAAGAATTTTGAAATTTTGGTTATGACAAAAATTGAAATTTTTTTTTCAATATCTTTGCTTCTCTTTAATCATGTGAATGCTTAAACTTATGTGTATAACTCAATAGACTCCTAGATATATTGGCAATGTATCAAGAACAAAAGACACTTCTTTTATCTCTTGATACATAAGTTAAGATTGACCTATAACAAAGCATTATGACTATCCAATTCTCTAAAAAGATTAATTAATATGTTATTACCTTTCACGAGCATGGTTACCATACGGTTCGAGTCCTCATGTCAACTTATTATAGTGTAATCTCGAACTTAGTTATAAGTCTTGTTTGATTATGATCAAACAAGTTTTCTTCAATTTTCAATATCTTAGCTCTTGGAGTAAACCAACTATACTCTATTGGTGTACTCGTACTATGACCATAGATTTTTTAAGCGGACATTCATTGAAATATAATGTGATAACTCTTTTAGCATATAAAGAATGATATGTCATATCCGAGTCATCCACTTACCTTTACTAGATTCCTAGTACACATAACAAATCGCTCATGTGCAACCTTTACTAGGTCTATCAAAACGAGTGTCAAAGTGCATAAATTCTCTAATGAGATAACCGTGATGGCTTCAAGTCAAAGGACTAATTGTACCTATCTCGTATGAGATTCCCATAGACTAAACTAAGTGGGTTCTCAAGGTGAGTCAAGTCATTGATATGTTCTCTAACATAAATCACATAAGTGTTTACTTTGGCATCATCATACCAATAGGTGTGAGATCTCCTACTGCTATCGTATAGCATGAGCATAGCATTCATAAGTCTAATCGCATACAATCAATGTCCATTCTTGACAATGCTATGACTTGGGATAGTTAATGATATCATTTATGTGTATTATTATTTGTTTTATATTTTTTGATCAATCACTAATGCAAATGTATATCATATGGACTTCTATCTAATTTTATTCAATCAATAAATGTAAATGACAAGAACTAATAGAAAGACTTCTTTTATTATAATAATATAAGTAATGCAATAGTACAATAACCGAAACTCATCCAAAAATAGTTGGATCTTGGGCACCTACACTAATAGAATACAACTTTTGAGTGATTCCTCTAATGACTCGCTCCATAATCCGAACATTCTCCCGGAGAACTTGGTATTTCACTAGGTATTTGTTCTCCACCTCTTTGATTTGTCGAGTATAGTCATGATGTACATCCTTAAGCTTTTATTGGTACTTTTCATTATCTTGTTGCATATGACTAGAGAAACAAGATGTAGCAGATGTTGAGTTAACATCAAAATAGCGAGTACAACTATGACGTCCGTGATCCAAGGCCGTACACTTTATGCTTCTTCTCCCCTTCATACAACCTTGAGATATATCCGTGACATATTGATATCTAAAGATGATGAATCGCCATACGAATGCTCGGTTAGCGACTAACATATATAATTGGTCCACGCTCTCTAACGTGATCAAAAAAATAAAAAATATTATTCATAAATATAATTTTTAGATTAAATTTGCATATGTATAATTAAAAAATAAAAAAATTTACCCCCAATTATCCGAAACTGCGTATTGATGAACAATCCATCTTGACATTTGTGAGTCTTCACGAATAACTCATAAGGATTTGGGTCATGACCCAACTCCTTAGTTTGAAAAAAGTAGACGTAAGTGATATGAGATGCAATAAATTCAAATATTAATTTATAATACAATGGATAATAATATTTACAATTCGTTTAGCATGATCAATATGTGAGATGAACCCCTTATATGTCTAGATGGTTTAGCGTTAGTACCACCCGTCTCACTCATACGGTTCCATATCGCTTGCTCAAAATTGACCCAAAACTTAGGTGTGTTCCAATCCTATCGCCATCCATCCCATATTAGGTTTGGAAAAAATGAGGATTTGTTGGTTTTTTTTTTTTTAAGCTGGTCGGCATGTAGGCATATTGCTTGCATGCCGGATGCTCCCATGATGTCTTAACCATCGAGGCGACGACTTCCTCTCATAAAAAATACTTGTACAAGGATGGAAAAAAATTAATATTAATACATGTCATGTTACTAATTTAAATGTAATACAAATAAATAATTAAAAACTAATTTGAGTAGAATTATTTTGTCTTCCGCGAGATTGACTTTCATGTGTAACTCGGTGGAGTCCAACCGCTCCTTGAAAATTATAGTGATCTAGTGAGAGTACTTACTAGATGGATACAACTTTCAAACACAATAAATAAAAAATCAATAAGTAAATAAACTATTCAAATAATGTATCGAAATGTAAAACTAACTACCACATCTAAAATCGGTATTCGTTGTTGATTTTGAATTTTAAATGAGTGAATAAATCACGCATCTCCATTGCTAATCGATGATGAAAATTAGTGTCCATTGTTGATTTGAATTTTAAAAGAGTGCATTTTTTTTACCAATAATAGTGATCGACATGATCCATCACTATTATTGGTAAAGTTAGCGACGAACATTATCCATCGTTGAGTGTCCTTACAATTCCATTGCTAAAACAAGCACGGATATTTTACCTTCTTATTTAACAATCGACAAAGTCAACCATTGATAATCCATCACAAATCTTTTGGCATTTCGTCGCTAATATCCAAATTTCAATCACGGTAGTAACTCGTTCGCTAATATGTTATTTTTTAGCTATAAAATAATATCCATAGCTAAATTGTATATTGTTTGTAATGGTATTTTATTTTTTCGATATTAGATATAAGTCTTGGATTATTCTTATTTGTGATACATACCATTATTACTTAATTCTCTCTATCCTTAATTTTTAATTTTTTCTTTTAAACTTGATTTCTATCTTCATACTTTCTATCTTTATACTTAGTAAACTAAATGTTGACAATTGTTTTTAATCTAAATTCATTCATTGTCATCCAGAATAACTTTAAATTAATTTAAAATAAAAAACCACATTAGTTATTGAATGAATTAAAAATGAAAATTGAAAAGTATAAGTATATATATCATCACATCTATTTTTTTTCTTATTTTTGAAATCCTAGCAATAGTCAATCCAACAACTATAATTTTTTTTTATTGGAAGAAGAAAAAAAATCTATTTTCATCTATAGCTTAAAGATATAAAAGAATCGCACTTAAAAGAAAGAGAATCAAGAATATTAATTAGGGTATCTAAATTTTTTTATCCCACATGAAAAAGATATACACGTGGCATGATTTAGTGTCGTGTAGCATGAATTCTCGGTAATATCGATAGTAAATGGTTGGTAACAATATATACTTATCGTCATTGATAATCCTTCCTTATAAAAAAAGCCTACACTCCTTGAACAGTCTTTTACCGTTATTCAATTCTTTACTTCAAATAGACCTTATTAAACATATTTTGGGCATATTTCTTTACTTCTGCTCATCATCTTTATAAATTATAAAGGATGGGCATTTTATCTGCAGGGACAAGGATATTGAAATTTTGGGAGGATGGCAAAGCTCTTTCAAATTCATCATACACTTTCCATCGTTCTTGTCCTAGCATCAAGTACGTACTTTTCTTATAGATATTTTTCAAAGTGTCAAATGAAAATTCAAATAAAATTAGAGATTTTGATTAAGTTTTTATTATAAAGGAGTTTCTATATGATTGATCTTCATCGTTCTCTATTTTTCATCTCATTCATGCATGTCTCCATATAATGAAACGTACGTTTTCTAATTTTTTTGTTGAAAGCTGTACGTGGTAAAAAGTAAAGAAATTAAAGAAAAGTTCACATTTCTAAGAGGTCTATATATGGGAAGCATCGTTTTAATTAGAACGAGACATATAAAATGAAAAAAAAAACTTTGGCTTTTCTCCTATCAAAATTTTGATAACTTACTTCTACATACTATTTTGATTTTATTTTATAGAAAAATCAGTACTTTTTCAAAAAATATATTTCATTTTTTCACTGTTAAACATAAAATTGATAGTTTTTACTTTTTATTTTATTTTTAAATCCACAAACTTGTAATTTTCTTTTTCTCTCAAATAAATATGTGCAGGAGAAATAAAAAATAACAATCGTAAAATCAGTTCTGAAAAAATCTTATGTATTAAATGAGTGGATCCCGTAAGTATATTCAATAATTGAACTTTTTTTTTTCAAAAAAAGATTTTCATGAATCGAAGAATCTCAAGTATCCATGGCTCATAACATTTTTCTACGTACCTCTCTGGCAATAAATCACAATAAATATCGACCACTCGACATACATTATAATTTATGTATATAACAAAAGTTTTTAATGTTATTTAATTTTTCTCAACGTCGAACCTTTTGTACCTTAATGGCATGGCATGTCTACCTAATCGTTCGTTTTGCATTTCTTTCATGGTGATAAATCCAGCAAGCTTATTGTTGCGTGGGGTGAAGGGACAGGTTTGCATGACTGAAGATTTAGGTCCATGTGATATTGCGGATTGCAACGCCAAGTGTACGTCAAAACATGCTGGTGGTGAAGGGCATTGTGGCACCAGCTCCTCAATAATTTTCACATGCAAATGCCACTATAACTGTACGGTTCCTCCTCCGCCGCCGTCATTGCCGCTGCCACCACCAAAAAACAAAATCTGCACTCTGGGGTTGGGTAAGTGCAGTGGAGCTTGCAACGAGAAATGCTGTAATGAAAATTGTGCTGCTAGATATCCTGGACCTATGGAAGGTTATGGAATGTGTCAAGATATTTTACCACCAATTTATAGCCTTTGCATCTGCTATTTCAATTGTTAGATCGAGATATTTTAATGTAATCCATGAGAGTATCAAATAAAAATCTTTCATTAGAAATTAATGAGTTTCTTTCTACCGGAAAAGAGAAAAAGAAATGAGCTTCTACCAAAGAAACCCAAAATTTAGATCATATTTAATAAAAACCTTATTTTAAGATCTTATATTTGTATCAAATCGATAAATTAAATCATCTCTAAATAATTTAGCAAATTTTTATCTTATTTTGATTACATTTGGCAATGCCATCCAATTATTCTCAATTCTTAAGAAACCTAAAACAACTAGGTTTACATAAGAAAGTAGGTTTTTTTTCCTATTTTTATTTTTTTAAAATATGCAACATGAAGTATGGAACTATGACAAAGACACATGTGAATCCTACATCGGTTTTATTTATTTTCGAAAATAATTTTAAAAAATTAAAATAGGGTATTTTAGACAAAATTATGAGCCATGTAGCTAATATTTTTCATATCAATAAGTTTTTAGATATTTACTACGAATTAATGACAATTAAACATAAAGCCAAATTTGCCAAATTATTCATGCATGATTTAATATACCAATTTTTAATACAAACACATCATCTCAAATTGGGCTTTTCCAAAACTATTGCAAGAGTTGAAGCTGCATATCTCTGTACTCGTCAATTTTGTTTAATTTGGTCTTCCATTTTTAGTTAATTCATAGTTGGCCTAAATATGTTTCTTCTTCTTCTTCTTCTTCTTCTTTCCCCCACAGAATACTGCTAGATTATTTGAAAATAGACAACTGTGGCACAATTCAAACTGAATACTAAGCAAATATGCAAATGTAACACAGTAAAAAGGCAGAATGCAGAGCTCAAACTATCCATAGCAAGCCACTGGAGTCACATTTTCGCAGATGAGGAACTCAAATCCAATGTCAGCATGGAAATGGGCGATCATATCTATTTTTAAGGTTTAAAGGAGGCGACTCCACTACTTAAATTGAGAATATATCAGTTTGAGCGAAGAAAAGTAATCTGCAGTTTACCTGTATCATTTACGAAGATGTCAAATGGAAGGTGACTGATTACTCATTGCTCATCATCAATTTGCTTTCTTCCATGACCATTGATGGTCGTCAATTTCATGGCGTACCTTTTTTGGGTAGGCAGTCCTGCTACGCCACCAAATCACCACAGTATTGACTCATTGAAAGCTGATCCTGTGAAATTGTTCTTCATATTGGTCTCTCTTTGACTTTAATTCACTGATATTGGCTCAGTCCCTCCATTTTGCTTTCTTACACCAGAATCTTGAGTTCGTATTAAGGGAAAAAGAAATAAAAAAAGAAAAGAAAAGAGACAGAGTAGGCTGAAAAGTCATTTACTCAAAGAAAACAACATACAAAAAGCATTAGCCCTCTGAATTGACTGTCTAAATAGACAAGAAAGAGCATCTGGATGCTGACAAAATTTCTGCAGAATGTAGCAAGAAAGAACTTGCATAGACGCCCCTAAAAAAACTTGAGGGTGAATTATTTATGAAAAAAAAAAAAAAAGATTCTCTGAACACCTTCATATTTTTAAGCCTGAATGAATGGCTACAACTCCCCCAACGAGATTCTCATACTCAACCTTCTGAAATCCTGCATCTGCAATCATTGAAGCAAATTTCTCCTGCATTCATCACTTACAATAAGTCACAAATCTATCAGGCAAACAAGCATCTACACATGCAAGTAAATAAACACAGGTTATACACGAGGATCATGCGATTTAAGCAACTAAATAGTCAATTGTACTCATGCCTCCCTCTACTCTTTCTTTCTTCTCTCACAGCTAGGTAATTTAATTCCAATCAGTTAGCTAACAGGGTTTCACATGTAGGGTTCAAACTTATCAGTTATAGTTTATTGAGCAGAAAAAATCTTTCAAAGCATCCGATAATCTGCTCTCTAGTTAACCTCTCAACTAATAAATCAAGCACACATTTTCTTTAGTAGCACTAACTAACATGTCTGTTACCCAGATAGACACTTGAATCACAGAAGCATGCGTTTAGGTAAAAGGGAAATGGGGCTCTAACAACCAATATATGTGAACACTGAAAGCTGCTTAATTTTCTGCTTGAATAGTTAATAATTTGTTGAAGTGCTAATGTTTGCCATAGAGCTAGAAATATTGGGCTTCCAACCACAAGATGATAGGTGGGTTTGAGTAAAAAACTGCCATCCAAAATGCTGCATGACATGGCTCAAATTCAAACAATCAGACTTATTAGGATTTAACTAAATCAAGACCTACACTGGATTTTTCTCAATGCAACCTTCAGCATGAAGATTCAATTGCAGGTAAAAGTTTTAATTTTCACAGCTAAATGATAAGTAGCATATAAGGTTTCTAGGAAGCAAAGTTTATGGCTAAATGTACTTGCAGATTAATATGTATGAAGACAAGCATTATAGATGGTCCAATTAAATAAACATGAACAGTTTTTTTTGCTTTCTATTTTGTGCAAAAGGAGTGTATTTTATGGATTTTAAGGATTCACTAGCAAGGAAAGGCATTTAGTTTTTAAAGCTAAATTATAAGATGCACATAAGTTTTAGAGGAAACAAATTTTATAATTTGATCTACTGTTTAAGATATAAATGCATGCAGATAACCATTACAGGCAGTTTAATGTGATAAAAAAGAGTTGATTCTTTTCTATTTTAGTAAAAGAGATGAAGTTTATGACCTTGAGCCATGTCCATTGATCATAAACTTCTCTTGCATGCCATATTTAACTCACATTCTGTCTTGGTATATTCATGTTTGGAAAATGTAAAAGCAATAATCCATGTACAGGTTACTATAAAGGCACCTAGTTTCCACATCCAGGCTTAAGTTGCAGGCTTGTATGCACAAAATACACCAGTTGTTTTTATTTTTATTTTATATGTTCTTATCCAAAAAAGGCTCCACAGAAGTATGCTTTGGGAATAAAGAAAATCTCATTCCTTAGTTCAGTTATAGCAGTATATGCAACATCTCGGTTTTACAAAGGCACCGCACTATTGTATGGACCCAATTGTTTGCTTCCAGATGCTTCAGCAAAAATGTACCAATATTTGTAAAAGTTCGTAGGACAAAATAATGACCTGTAGAGGAAAACGACGTATGCTCTCAACTAAGTACTGATAAGATTCCCGATCCCCTGCAACTAGCTCCCCTAGAGCTGGAATGACTGAGAATGAATAGTAATCGTATCTGCAAGAAAAAACAGTTAACACTCCATAAACAAGATAAATGATGCAGGGTTCTGAAAAATGTGGAAAAAAGAAATACAAGATTGAAGCAAGCAAGCTAAGTTTCACTAAGATTAGCTAGGAGAGGATCGTAGATGCTATCTACAATCCATAGAATAAAGCTTCAGCAGCGAGCATATATCTTTTCTTGCTATAAACAATCGTAACTTCTCTCATGTGAGTGCTTTCCACATGCCAGAGCATGCAAGGAATTACAACTAATCAACAAGAGTTAAACCACTCAAATTCAAGCGAAACAGCAAGAAATTCACCAAGTCTTCTAACCAATTTGAAGTTCATCTAATTAGTAAAAATTCAATTTATTTCAGGATCTCCTTGCTATTGCTTTCTTATTTTTTCCCTGGTTGGATCACAGTTTTTGGCTCATTTTGTACTTTGCACTTGCAACATGAGCATAATTGCTGATCTTTGCAACAATTATGTTGACCATATTTTGTTGAAGTTCATCATTTGTTCAATCAACAGCATGCTCCCAGGCAATGATCTGTTTGCACTCTAGAGGCCATGACCTTAAGTGGTTTGGTTTAAAAGATGTGAATTATGCTTGGACTACATGAGAGAGAACAACACACTAATTTAAATAGATTTGCTCTTTATAAACATTAAATTCATAATCAATATGAATATAGAAAACTAATATATTAATATGAATATAGGAAAACGAACCCAGAACGCCTATGAGAGAGGTGGATTATGGGAGCGTGAGACTAATATTATTGATTTGGGGTTAGACAGAGATATAATATTCTCAGTCAATCTGACTTCATCACACGAAGGCCTTTGACTCTATGACTGACTATATTCTGTGGAAAGGAAGAGACCGGATAGTTAATATTCAATGAAGTTGAATAAATTCTGTTTACCCCTTGGAGCCAGGGGAGAGCCCTTTTTGGATTGGGTAAATTAATAAAGACCCTGAGATATGGTGAAATTACTACTACCACTCAAAAGTTTGAAGATTAGGGGGAAAAAAAGCACAAATATTTACAAAAATATTATAGATGCCTCCTTTTATATCCAAAATACCCTTAATGGGTTAAAAATTACTACATTGATGGTACCGATCTTTTGGGCATAAAAGGGGATTTTTATTGAATTTTCTTAAATGTGGGAGGGAGGTTTTGTCAAATGTTCAAACTTTTGAGTGACACCTATAATTTCACCACACCTCATGAGAGTTATTGTAATTTATCCCCTTTTTATTTAATTCATAAAGTCACTTCACCACCTATACACTCCCAGAAAGGAAAGACTGACCAATTCGGCATAATTTACACACTTGTCAATTTATTAAAATTGAGAAAGTACCATCCATCTGACCCCAGGAAAATCTGGATATTATTTGTTGAAATGGTGCCTAACAATGATATTAAAAGAAATGCTTGCATTAACAAATATGCCTTAATGTATATGAGAAGGTGTACTCACAATTCTTTAAACACAGGAACTTCAACGTGGCTGAGTTCAAGGCAAAGGAATCTTCCTCCTTGTTTTAATACCCTAGTAAGGTAAACAGAAGAAACTTGCATAAAACATTAATATATACTACACAAGCACCAACATATCTGGAGAAAGAAAAGGGAACCATATAACAGAAGAATAGTCTGCTGATCATGCATATCGAAAGAGAAGACATTAACTAAATGAATGGAAAAAACAACATCATAGCTTAACAACTAGCACGACTACGTCATAGTTTAGACTGAATACGACATTCTTATGCAAATAAATTCATAGCCATCATCTGAACAATTTTCTTGTTAGCCTTATGCTTCAACTCATTTTTCAACAACTCTCTAAACAGATAAAAGAACACCTATAAAAATAGAAAATGGCAGCTTGCTCATAGAATTTAAACCTAACAATTGACTTTCTCACCACCTGATTCTGCTCTAATAACTATTCTTGTTTCAAATTCAACAGCAAACATTTAATGCAGGTATCCAACTTGGAAAAAAAAAAGGGGGGTCGACTTTCTCAATGCAAACCAAGAATTACCTAGCAGCCTGTACCCTCTCAGAAATTAAGCTGGTAGTGAGTTCAGATTCCCTTTATTCACACGCTGATGAATGTCTCCACAGGAGCACCATTAATTACCTAACTCAAGTAATTTTCATGACCTATTGATCTTGTTAATCAAATATATGGTCACTGCTATTTGTTGCAATCGCAACTGACAATGCCAATGTAATATGCATTTTCTTTTGCCAAAATATGTTATATATAGTGGTTTTTAAAGAAAGGGCATCATTTCCTTTGATTCACGACAGTCAATCTTATCCTCAAAGATAAGCCATCCTTAAAAGTCTGTAACGATGTAACCTGATATCAAATCAACAATGGTAACATGATTATTTCTCATGGTTCAATTTTACCATTTTAATGAGAGGGTCCTTAGCTTGCTATTTATAATTTTATGTCACCATTGTCTCAAATAATTTAGGCGAATAAGTTAACCGAAAGCCATATAATTATAAGCATACCTATACGCTTCAGCAAGAACTTTCTCTATATGGGTAACATTCCTAATTCCAAATGCTATTGTGTAGCCATCCATGGTATTATCTTCAAAACTCAAGGCTTCAGCATCTCCCTCCACCCATACGAGAGATTTGTTTTCTCCAAGACCTGCAAGTGCCAATTAAAAAGCAGGAAAGAAAACATCACTCATCAAGAAAGCAGCATTAATAAATCAAATCTCTAATTAGACTCTTCAAGGATTTTGCTCAAGTCATGATAATTTCTGAATCATACCTCTCTCTATAGCCCGTTTTTTGCCAACATTTAACATATTTGGGTTTATGTCACACACATATATCTGTGTTTCTTCCTGCAAATGATCATTAAGAGGATCTTGACTTGCTCTACCTTTGATACTATTTATATTATCTAGAATCCTGAAAGCAACATCTCCTGCAATTAAGAATTTCAAACTCAAGATCTAATAACTCATAAAAACTATGAGATAACAATGAAAAAGAAAAGAAAAGAAAAGAAAAGAAAAGAATAAGATACCAAGTGTTATTTTTAGTTGAACAATTTGCTTTATTTGAAGTCGTGCATGCCAATTTAGAGGGTTCCTTTTGTAGGGTGGGTGAAAAGGTTCTATGAAGAGCGTTTTCCAAGAATTTAATACTAGCATGCTGAGACCAAAGGAAGACTTGGTATTTTGGTTTCCGGATATATAGGGGTAAAATCTGGAATCAATTTGCGATTAAATGACGAAAATTAAGGGCTCTAGAGACATTATCCTAGAAAATTTGCAGCTGAACCAGATAGTCACTTGCTTTTACACCACACTTGGACTTGAGAGTTGTGCAACAGGTCTTCTCGCCATTAATAACCATCTGGGTACTAACCAATTGAAAGAGATGTATGGGCTTGGAGGGAAATATGCTTGTGAACAAATAAGAGGAAAATTTGTCTTAATTCCCGTGGTTAGTTTTTCCTAGTGTAAAAGGAGCATAATGGGAGGCTTTTGAGGGAGAGCTGACTATCCTTTTAACTTTGGATGGATTAGAACTATATACTTCTGGTAAAGGAAACAATAATTTTAAAGATGTTCTTTCAGTTGTTGACTTAGTCGATCACTTTCTTGCAAATCAGATAGTTGTTTTTGCATGTGCGCCACATGGTGTGGCCGAACCTTCCTGATGTGCTTTATGAAAGCATTTCTAATCAAATAAAGAGCTTTTTTTCCTCTTCATAACATGTTATGGTTTGATATCAGTCCTTACCTGTTCCACCAGCCACATCAAGATGCTTCATTCCAGGGAATGGATTCAGCATGGAAACCAACCTAGAAAGCATCACAGACAACTAACTAATGTCAGCACGAACGGAAAGTGAAAAATAAGACAAATCTAAACAATCATTAAAATGCATCCTCAACGTATTCTAACCTGTCTTTCCATAATCTATGTAACCCACCACTCATGACATCATTCATGAGATCATAATTCGAGGCTACACTGCTGAAAACATCACCGACCATTTGACTTTTCTCTTCTTCTCGTACATGTTTGAATCCTGCAATGCAGGAGAGCCTTTATAGTTTTCTAAAAGTCATCTAACATGTGGTTAAGGAATAATAATCATGTAAAACGGAAAGCAGGAAAAACATAGATTAATCAAGAACCTACCAAAGCTGGTGGCATGTGAATGCAGTAGAGAAGTGGAAGAGAGCATGGGCAAGAATTTGCTTCCCAACTTCCTGCTAACCAATCTCAGTGCCATGACTGCCAGCCGGCCACCCAGACAAAAAATAAATTCGTTCTTAAGATTGTGGGGAGCACTTGGACCACGTGTCAACTACGCATTGGTCAGAGCACCAGTCTAGTTATGAAAATTCTTCCTAACCTGTTAAGGCTGTTTAAGACAGATAAAATGAAACAAAGCAAAAGACTAAAATAAAATGGTTTCAAAAATTAAAATGAAATATAAAACCCAATTACAAAAACCCTAAATTGAAACTCCCAAACAAAATCTTCCCCATTTCCTAAGTCATTGTCTCTCTCATCTCCATACAAATCTGGTTAAAGAAGAAAGAGGAAGAAGAGGAAAAAAAAAAAAACAAAAAACAAAAGAAAATTATGGTCACCATACCTTAATTCAAGGGAGATTTGTGCATCAAATAAGATTCCTCTCCATACAAATTTCTTCTTCTTCGTCTTCTATTTCTTCGCTAATCTCTAAAACTGTGGAGCGGTGGTGTTAAATCGGTAGGAAATTGTTGTCCTTTGTATATAGAGGTTTCCGTTAATTTATGTTAAATACCCAAATTATCCTTACATTAAACCAGCTGTCGGGCCGACCGCCAACACCTAATGGGAAAGAGCACATTTAAAGTTCAAGCCAAAAGATACAAATATTGCTCTCTCTCTCTGCTCTTAAACCCCTTCGTATCGAGCTAGGGTTTGTCCTTTGATACCACAAGTGAGAGAGAGTGTGGCATTGGGATTTTTCATATACCAGCTTTTTCATCATTAAAGATAGAGAAAGAGACAATGGGGAAAAAAGTCGTAGCAAAAAGAGGTAAAAATTTTGACCTATTATTTTCTTGAACTATAATAATCAAGGTTTCTTAAAGAGGTAATTTGGAAGTATTAATTTCATTCGAAACAGGAGGGTTTTTTTTTTTTTTTTTTTTTTTTTTTTTTGTGTTTTAGTAATGCAGTTTGAAAAAAAAAAAAGAAAAAGAAAATTTTATTTTTAAGCTCAAAACCGGAAGGTTATATATATAAATTGTAATCTTTGTATGATTGATGCTTGTAATTTTTAATAAAGCAGGGTTGAAGAGGCACAAAAGACCAAACAAATCTTTTGCCGATGTACATAAGAAGAGGTAATCTTTTTATTTGTTTCAAGTTCTGTTTGGATGGTTAGTTATGAAGATTCAAACTGCATTAGGCCATTCCCAGTGACCTGACATGAGAAAGATTTGAAGATTGGCCTATGTATGCTATGTCGCGGCTTAAGCTAGAATCAATTTTTTTGGGGTTAATTGAAATAGGTTTGGGGATAAATATTGATTATTTAGTTTCTGTATTCGTTGGATGTTGTTATTGGAGTTTTCCAACTCAAGAAAGTTGAGGTTACCCAAGTTCATTTTGATCATTGTAGATTTTGGGTTTGAAAGGTAAAATTATTGTATAGGATTTTGATAAGGTGGTTGATATCCAAATGGTTGCAAATAAAAAAGAAAACTTAACATATCTAAGTTTCAATGTTTTATTTGTGGTTTGACAGAATTATGCACAGCATATGGGAACTTTTGCCTTTGGGGAATGATTGAACCGAATCTGTTTTCAAGGGTAGTTTATACTATAAAATTGTCATAGGGGGCAGCTATTGATATTTTTGTACTTCAATTTTCTAAGCATTTGTGGGCAATTTTTGTGAATTATATTTCCATTTCCTGGATCAAATATTAGTTGATTGTTGATGATTCCCTTTTCTTCTGAAACTGCATGTAAAATTATGGTGATTTGGTATGAGGCATTCTGAAACTATATATTGCTTTGATCATAGACCAAGGCTAGAAAGTAAAAGTGACTTGGAAGAAGATATAGCTGAGGACTCTCCTTCTCTCAGCATATTTGAGGAAGATTCTGCTGAAGAAGGTAAAATATTGTACTTTTCTGTTAAATTATTCAGGAAAAATAATAAGTTTTAATTGGTTATTACAGGGATAGATGTTATAATATTTTTCTTCCTTTTTTGAAATGGATGTTGCTAACAGTATTATCAGTATTTGATGCTATTGTTTTTCATTGCTGTTACCATTATTTTCATTTTTTATTAATATGGATGGATACTGAAATGCTCCACATTTTTCCTCGCCATTCATCAATTTTTACAGATTTTGTTGCTCTTTTTCCCTTGTTATCACTATTAGGAGCAAGTATATATAAATAGGTGCAAATTCTAACATCACCACAACCCTCTGGGTTCATTTGCTTTGCTCGTGGAGCGGAATACTGGGAAAAAAAAGGGAAGAAAAAATCATGAAATAGGAATTGCCTACCCGCTTTCCGTTCGGTCAGCTTCCCCTCTCTGGGTAGACTGACTCTGGACAAAGAAGACCATTATCAGTCGCCAATGTTCTTGGTTGTGTTAAAAAATGCTAAGATGTATGTAATACTTCCTTTTATAGTGGAGGTTGCGCCTAAAATATCCTGAAGCTCCATTTGGTTACTAGGAGCAACAATGAGGTCTTTCTTCCGATTTGTAAGGTGTTTAGTTAACAAGGCTAGAATGGGAATGAGTAATGCTTTTTCATTACCACAACAGGATGTGAGTTTGAAGGTGTCTGGAGCATGGATCTCCATGTTATGCAGATTGAAAACAAAAAGACTGGCTATCTTGGAATGTGTGATACGATTGGTTAGGTTTCTTCATATCAAATTATTGGAAGGAAATACACTTGCCTGTAATGCAAAATATTTTTAGGTTCTTGTGTGTATAAATTGATGTCTATTTATGCAAAATGTTTTATGGCAATAAAATACAATTGGTGGCTTGGATTTTTAATTAAATATTTTAATATATGAAAGTTAGTTTCATTTTCAATTTGCGTGACTAATTTTGATAAATTACCCAAAGTTGCAAATTCCTCGTAGCAAAAAAGCTCCTCAAAAAAACTAACAAGTCTTTTGAGAATTAAAAGAAGATAAAAAAAGAAAAAGTCATGAATAAGAAGAAAAAATCTACAGTGGGAAATTTTTTTCTTCTTTCATTTATGCTGAGAAATGCTGGTGCTTTTCATTTAACAAATTTGTTCTCTGAGATTGCTGAGATCTCATATGAGTCACCTGATTAGAGGGGCAAGTCAAACTTTGTTAAGTAAGTCCTGAGCGATCTGACCATATTCACAATGGCATCAATCTGAGGCCTTTCCATGAATATTTTCATCAACCATCAAAGTGTTCATCGTCAGAGAGGAATGCTAGAGTTTTGAGGGTCAAATTTTCTCAAATTGGTCATCACATATATCTGTTCTTTTATTTTTTATTTTTTTCCCTTTATCTCTCTTTGGCTTCGTAAATATTTCTGGTTTTTGGTTCTTGTTTGTGGGTATCATTAGCTCTTTCGATTGGATTAACCAGTTCTTCATTTAATTTTATGTTTTACTGAGGATGATAACTTATTCTCTTATTCATTCATCCCACCACCAAAATCTAGTGATCAGTTGATGGTTCATGGCTTCTCCTTGTGATATCATTTGATTACTAAGTTAAGCATTCTCAAATGTTTCTCTTCATCCACTTTTTAAATTCATTTGTTGGACTCACCCACACTGTGTATTGCTCAAGGATTTTCATTTGCATCTTGCTAATATAAGTTGGTTGATGTATCTGAAATTCCTTTTCTTTTAATCTTTTGGTTTATTAATGTTGGTATCTAGGAACTGATAATGAAAGTAACCTGCAAGAGCGTAGTGCTGTTAGCATTGTGGATGAGGATGGAGACTTTGGGTCAGAAGATGTTCGGGAGGCATCTGACACTGATAAAGAACAAGAATTGGGTGTCAAGTCCCAAACTTTTGTAAAGGCACCAGCATCCAGAAGGTACCTGTGAATGATGCTGCTTCTTATGTGATTGCTTATAGTTATTTACCATCATCAATAATATTGATTGGCAACTGATATCTTCTATGCGGATGGATGCAATTAAAGAACACTAGTTCAACTGTTGTTTGAAACAATTTCTAGGTAACCCATCTGTGAATCTAAAGAAATCCAAACATTGTGTGTACTTAGAAAATAAGTATGGATGTCTATACCTTATGCATTACATATTGTTAATCTTTAGAACAGCCTAAGTGTCTGTTATTCAGTTCTGTTTATGCGCATCAAATCAAACACAATTGATCAGCCCTTGCCAATTTGTTTCTGTTCACATAATTAATTTTTTTCAGGATGTAATTTTCATGGGAACTTACATAAACATAATTAATTAGATTGCGGTAATAATGTTTGAACCCTAAAATGAGACACACTGATGATAGGCTATGTATTTACTGCATTCATGTCTGTTTTTTTTTTCTTTTAATTATTCCAATTTTTTGTCCCTTTTATCCTCGTTGACGTGTATTTTGGATAGTATTCCCACTTATTTCATGTCCCTTTATGTACTCTGATTTATGTGGCAGAGAAGTTAGTGGAACTTTTTTGAGACACTTATTCTGTGTTGAATTTGGTGGTGATGAGTGAAGTATCACCTAGTCAAGTTGGAAAAGATCTTTTGACTATAAGAAAGGGGATTGAGGTGTCTGTAAATTGGAGATGTTTAATTGTTCTCTATTGCAGTGATGGCAGTGGAGTTGTAAAGAGTAGTTGACAGGGGAGGGTAAACGAGACAAAGTAGGGGCTGAATTACATTGATAGCGAGGCAACTTCATGGGTTGGGTTATGGATACAACTATTTTAAATGGTTGGAATGCTTTTAGTTGACACGTTGGTCTTAAGGTTATTGGCCACGAAAGTATGGTGTGGGGACAAAGGAGCTTTTGGGTCTTCTTTGTTTCCACGAATAAACAGGTGCAAGTTCAATGCTGTATTTTTGGCGAATACTAGGCAAATGGAATTTTAAGGAAATGTATAATTTTGACTTTCATCACATTGTTCTGTGACTCTGCAAGTGTATAAGAATAATAATTCATCAAAAGTTAAGGATAGGCTTATTATTTGGTGCCAGCATTTATAAAATCTTGACCAAGTTTTTGCCAATTGTCATTATTGCGTAGTAGGATGATTCTATTTCTCAAACTGTGTTGATAGAGGGAGGGGAAATCTTGGATGCAGGTCTAGTATGTAATGAGGTTGTGGATGGTACCGAGAGAGGAGGGAGTAAATTAGTTATTTTAAAGTTGGATTTTGAAAAAGCTTGAGATGGTACTTTGGAATTTCTTAGATAATGATAGGGACTTTAACAAAATGGTCAACACGGGGGTGGAAAACTTAATGGGGACAATACTTTATCTCTATGCAGGTGATACTCTTTTTGTTGTTTACGACTGCTTGTTCTACAGAGTGTTAAATAAAATTATGATTGTTTTATTATATTTATTTGGATAGTTTCAATGTTAAACATGGCAAAACTTTTAGTGCATTCCTTAACTGGAATGAATAAATACTTTGACTTCTCCATGGAACTTGTATGTTTCTTGGCCTTTTCTAAGCTTTTCATGAAGCTGAAGTATAGTTTCCTTCGTGCAGCTCTTTCCATTCACGCTTGGAGTATAAGTTACCAAAAACAGAGGTAGAGGATCTGTTGAAGAAAAAATGGAAGTATCAATGGGATGTGCCCGCTTTTGGCATGCCAAATTGCAAGTGGGTAGGAACGGGAGAGTGTTTTGTAGAGGTATTTTCCAAACTGTCTGCCTTCCATCTATTATTTATTGTCTATGTAGATTTCTTTTTCTTTTTCTTTTTCCTGGCACATGGACAAAATATAAATTAAATAAAAAGAAAAGGAGACTATGGAATACACTATAGGTGTCCTGCATGAAGAATACAAGTAGGAACCGTGCAAACTTAAATCAGGAGACAATGGCATTTGAGTCTTGTTGCATATATGCCAAAGACACTCCTTTAATGTATTGAAATAGTGCATTGTAAAGACACCAAAAATTATACTATCCCCCATTAAATACCTGGAGGAGTAATTTTGTAAGATTCTAGAAATTTGCTTCATAAAAACACTCTGGTACATTGTTTATAGATTTACGTAAACTATGAGGGCTTTGCATTCTTCTAAAAATGCCTTGCAATTCTTGTACTTGTCAATTAAAAGGACAGGATAAGTGAAGAACATGATGTAATAGCAAACAGGGTAGGTTCCAAGTTGGTCTTTCTACGGGATTGTAGTTTGCTATAATTTTAATTTTGAAGTGTTTAAATACATTCCCTTCCCCCACAAACAATAAATTTTTATTGACCATTTAAATAGTCATCTAAGGAGATAATGGTCATAAATACATTATCTGAACAGAAAAAACAAAAAATAAAAGACAATTGTGTATGCACTGATTAGGTTGCATGTGGATTTAGGTTAAAGATAAGTTGTTAGATACACTCGAAGTTGTACTCCCTCCTTTCACATAATCATGGGACCCACCATGAAAATTATCCATGGGTCCCATCTTTATGTGAGAGAGTGGAGAAGAATTCCAAGTTTATTGAATAATTCCTTGAGGTTAAAAATATTGAGGTTAAATGTTATGGCAAATTACAACAATCCCCATGAGGTATGGTGAAACTACATGCACCACTCAAAACCTTGAAGGATTCTAAATCCTTTTCACATTTAAAAATATATATTACAGGAATTGCGTTTTATATCCAAATTCCCCTTATTGTCAATGTGGGTAATTTCAAACCCATTAAGGGCATTTTTGGGTATAAATGGGATTTTCTATAGTATTTTTTTCGTGAATGTGGATGAGTTTCTGTTAATCCCCTAAGCTTTTGGGTGATCCCTATGTTTTACATCTTCATTGGAGTTATTTTAAATTACCCTGAATATTAAAGGGTCAAGCGTTAATTGTTGATGGATGCTATGTTATATGTATTTGTTAAGAGTGCTAATATTATTAGTACTAATAATTCTCTTTAATTTATCCTAAATGTTAAAGGGAAGTAACTAGGAGCAAGGTGTTAAGGCTGTAAAAAGTTTTAATGGATGCAATTTTAAACGTGTTTGGTAAGAGTGTAAATATTATTAGTAATAATAGGTCTCTTTAAAGTCAAATTAAAATTTGAATCTTGATTAAAAAATAAAATAAATAATGTATGTTATAGAGCCCAATGATGAAGCAGGACTGAAAGAGAAAAGATAAAATTGTTAAAATTTAACCCTGTTAATTCCAATCTAAACATAGCCTTAATTAAGAGGATTTAAACCAAACTGGATAAATTGCATTTTCAAACTTAAATCTGATCATGGCTGTTTAGAGTTGGAGATCTAAAATAAAGACTTTAGAAGTGCAATCTATTATCAGTTAGGCTTTTGTGCTGGCCAGAATTTTGGGTTGGGACTGGTTCCGCATGCAGAGGGGATTGCGGAATAACAGAAAATATAAAATATTTGTTTTTTTCCTCTTTTTTTGGTCGGGTTAAAGGTCCAGGATGTCCTTTTGCTATTTTATTTGTCCTAATCGTGTTTCTCTACTAAAATTTCAATAATTTTGTCCCTTTACTCTTAATCCATGTTTGAATTTCATCCCTCCATCCAATTTTTCAGGCAATGACGACAGTTTCCGACTTAAGACCGACAAGATGCCGACACGTGACATTAAATTTATAAAGAATAAAAAAAATCTCAAAAAAATCTAGAAAAAATTAAAAAAATCTCAAAAATCTCCTCTTTTTCTCTACCTTTATGTATAGAAATAAATAATTAATTTCACTTTTCAAATTTTTTTCTTTCTCTCAAATTCAATCAAAAAAAGAAAATTTTTTATGAGAAGGAATAGAAGGAATTTTTTTTTTTAATTATTTCAAAAATTTATTATGAATTTTTTTTTCGGGTTTGGATTTGAAATAAATTTTCATAATAATTTTTGAAATAAATAAAAAAATTTTCTATCCATTAAAAATTTTCTTTTTTGGTTTGAATTTGAGAGAAAGCCAAAAAAAAAAAAAAAAAAAAACTGACGGGTGAAATTAATTATTGATTTCTATACATAAAGGTAGAGAAAAGGAGGAGAATTTTGGGACTTTTTTTCAGGTTTTTTTGGGGTTTTTTTATATTTTTTAGATTTTTTTTAGATTTTTTTGAAACATTTAATGCCACATGTTAACATCCTGTTAGTCTTAAACCAGAAATTATCGTCATTGGCTGAAAATTTGGATGGAGAGATGGAATTCAGATGCCAATTTATAATAGAGGGACATAATTATTGAAAAATTTAGTAGAGGGACATGATTAAGACAAATAAAATAGTAGAGGGACATCCTTGACCTGTAGCCCTTTTTTGGTCTATGTTGTTAGAGCTTACATCAGCAGTTGGAATTTGGGACGGTATGTCTCTAAGGATGCTTCTTACAAGGATGCCTGTGGTGCAATACTGCATAGTTGCCCCCCTGTTGATAGAGTTTACATCACTAGCTTGAATTTGGGATGGGATGCCCCCACGACGATGGCAGCGGCACAATACAAATTATTTTAGGTCCCAAAGTTTTGATTTTGGACCCACCAGTTAACCTCTTACATTATACCATGTTAGACCTTGCTTTATAGAGGCAATTTGTTAATTATGCAAGCATGTTCATGTATTATTTTTGTGCAGGATGCTAACATAAACTCTGATTGTGGTCTCAAGCAAAGGCTATATAAACACTGGTTGGATGTGTACGGGACATCCGGCAGCAATGATTTTGATTCATCTCTTCAGAGATTTTTCTTCTCCCTTTGTAAGCCTCATCATATTTTTATAGATGATCTTTATTTATTCAGTTTCTCATAGTTGCATTCCAATGGTAGATATTTGTTAAGATTCATGATTTCATATATATATTTATAAGCACTTAATGAAAAATATGTATATAAGCATGTGAGATACTGGGGAACTTTATATCTCTAATTTTCATATTTATGGTTATTGAGAAGTCCTATGCGTTTGCCAAAAACACATTTCATGCTAGTAATTAGAACTGATTGGTGAAATGCCAATCGTTGTAGAATTTTAGATTTTTAGAATCAACACTCTTAAATCTTAGAACTTCCAGGGATTTTATCTGAACTTCATAAAGTGTTTTTGTAGGCCTGGGGTTGGTTACTGGACCTAGCACCTCCCTAGGTTCCATAAGCAAACTGCGTAGAACTTCTTGGCATCATACCCAGGAGAAGATGCATATCGCATCAAAATACTTTTTTTGTCACTAGATGAATATTTCAGCATCCATATTGTTGTATTGGACAGTAGAAATACTGCAGAATTTGATCCTCAAGAAGTTGAAAATTTATGCCATCTCATATAAAAAAATGCATAGAATGTTATGGTTTCTGAACATGGATAAGTTTTCATTATTTATCATTTTTGGTAGTGCTTTTCTTTTATTTCCATTTATAGGGGTTATATTGGTATTTTGGTGCCTACGTAAGAGGCTAAGAGCACTTGTTTAGTATTTAGTGCCTGTATGAAAGCACCTATATTTTAGGAGGGCTTTTATTGATGATCCAATTGGCAATATTGATTTTGCTTCTCTTTTCTTCATTTCTTTTGTCTTTCCATTATACTCTCATTCTCCTTCCTAATTTCTCGTCTTCTTCTCCTACATCAATGTTTTCAACACCCACTTGGAGCATTTCACTTTGGTTGCCAATAAAAATATTTGTGGGTTCGTAACTGGGAATAATTTTTTTCGACATTGCTAGAAATCATTGGTATTAGTTGGATCTATTAATATGTTGCAGTCTAATTACATAATCCTAACTAGTTTAGGGGGCAAATTTTATGTGTAATTTACAAGAAATATGACATGTTTAACTTGATATAGAGAATGAGAGATTAACCATAATTTGTCTAAATAAAAACATAAATGATGAGAAGGTTTGAAATGCCCTTAAAATTGCACAAGCCAGATTGTAGTCCTCGTCGAGTATTTGAGACAAGACTTGTTGGAGTTTTATCTGAAGTTTCTTGCACTTGCTGTTTTATTGTAATAATTACTTGTTTCTTTCTCCATTTCTGTCTGGGTAGATGCTTGAATTAGTTTTGATGCATCAGCAATTATATTTTTATCTTGGCTGTGACTTTTCATTTATATTACCTAAAATTTATAACCATGTTTTCTGTGAATAGTTTGTATCCAACTTTTGTTATTGTGCATAACATTTTTTTCCCCCTAGGCAACAGCTATAGAGATATTTTGCACTGTAACAAGAAACCTTTTTACCGCAAGGGCCTGAAAGAAGACTTGGCAATCATGGATGCATACATTATGCACTGTGTATGTAAACTGACTTTTCTTTTAGAGAGATTCCATTATTGCTGTACATTTTGAGTGTTTAGTGCTCTTATTCTAAATGAAATGAAAACATCATGCAGCTCAATCACATTTTCAGAACTAGAGATCTTGTAACAAAGAATGATTCAAAAGTGGGCAAGCATCGGGAGAATTCTGAGGATGAATTGCTTAATGGTGATGAATTCCTTGATCATGGGTTTACTCGTCCAAAGGTAGTGTTGAGTGGTTTCCTGTGATCTGCATGCTGTGCATCTTATTGTTTCTGTGTATGGAGTCGATAATATTCATTAAAACATGATGTGGAAATTCTGATTCACAGAAATGCATGACAGTTTTTGCTCACACGCACTTGCATATGCTCATTCTTGTTTGCAGTTATAACAAATCTGTACTTGTGATGATATGTGCTTCAATTGTATTTTTCCTTTGTATCATCTACATATCACCAAAAGGAAAATAAATAAATAATGTCAGAGATGCCAGTGCAGTCATTCTTATGAGGCAAACAATGGATTCTATATCAATTGAAAATGGCGCCTTGAAGGATTGGAAAGACCTGGATATATGAGAGCATATAGGCCAGACAAAGATCTTGATTTTGTGTGCCTTATATTAGGGGGCATTTTGTTATTGAGACAGGACATTGTTTACCAAAGTCATTCTTCCATTTGAGCCAGAAAAAAGTTCTTTATCTTTCACCAAAGAATCACCCATATGGTTATAACCAGCATGTGTCTTAATCCATTGAACTTCCAATGAGGGGCACAATCCCCCATGGATTCTTTGGAAGTGGGCTTACCATATACAATGTTTTGTTGCATCTTTCATATGGCAAAGCATCAAATAGTTTATATCTTAAGCATGTTTATCTATGATGCTTCATTCAATACTTTGTGTTTAAATATTGGCATAATTTTCTGGAAAATCGACAAGCATATGGAAGTTTGGGACTGCATGAGGTAACAAATTTTATCTCATGTAGCTTCTAGACCCATTATTGTGAATGCTTGATTTTGTACTGAATTGGCTTACCGTGGCCAATTTTCAAGATTTAACATTTAACTAGCTGCCATAAAATAATTTATGTTCAGCCAACTAACTCGCTATGTAAGAAACATACCATCAATTGAATAGATTAAAGCACTTGAATTTTGTTACCTTGTTTTCTTTGCTTCATACGACTCATTCCTAAATCAGTATATGTGCTTGGCTTATTCATATAAAGATTGTTTTAATGCTGTATTACAGGTTTTGATCCTGCTGCCTTTTAGAAACATCGCAAATCGTTTTGTTAACAGGCTGATACAACTGACCCCTTCAGCTTACAAGGTAATTCATTGCTTTCATAATCTGTACTCATTCTTTAAACACGGTTTAAGATGCTATTCAATAGTAATATATGTTGAACAAGCATCAACAGCTCTACCTGAATATTTTGGGTGCCTGATTTGACATACTAGGTGACCTATTGGCATTTATGAGACTTCTAGGTCTGGCAGATGTTTGAGTGGTAAACTACTTGTGACCAGCTGATAAACACCTGTTCTCCCTCTTACTGTTGTTTTTTTCATTTACAAGTACAGTGAAGGAAAAATAGTTCAATAAATGTACCCTATACCAAACTTCTTGAATTGCACATTATTTTTTTACCTGCAAGTTAGAAAATTGTTTTCTTTGAATTCACATTCACCGCAGTATGTTCTAAAAGATCGATTCTCGTATTCAAACAAGCTTTTCTAGGATTTTGTACAATCTCAAAGATGAAAGCATATCGTACACAGTTAAAAAAAGAAACTGATAAGTTGTTGAAGTTTTTTTTTTTTTCGTTAGAATAAGGGTTTCAGTGTTTACAACTTTCTGTCCATTTTCACAGGTTAATGTGGAGCACATGAGTCGTTTCTCTGATGAATTTGGAACTCAAGATGACGAAGACAATGTAAACACCAATGACTTAACTGGAAGTGTTAGCAATTCAAAATCTCAGAATTCCTCAAAACCACCAGACCATCAAGCACTTTTTGATGGAAATATAGATGATAAATTTATGATAGGCATTAAATTTACGAGGTAAATTACTTACTCATATAAAGTAGGTTTTTTTTATAAAAAAATTTAATGATGAGAGAAAACTATCAATGACTCACCTTTCTTATTGATTTATTAAGTAATTCATTTTGTCCATCTAAACTTAGTTATGGAAGTTTTCTGTTTGAGGCGCTCCATCCTTTATTAACAACCACATCCAAAATCATTCTTGAATCAGTTGCATTTCATTTGGGAAGGTGGTCATGATAAGGATTAAAAGTAGTTCCAGAGAAAGGTTAAATGGATTTGGGATTTGGGTACCAGTTTACTACCTTTTCACACACATTGAAAAAAAAATTTCAAGATTTAAATTTTGCAACAATATGAAATACAGCTGACTAAATGTATGCTGTTTTAATGTTCTTCCTTGGGTCATTTGCTTTAATTTGGTTGGGTCTGCAAGTTATAAGTGACTATTTGCTTTAAGTCAGTTTTGGTGCCCAATCCTCTTTCAATATGGTGAAAAGAAGAGAGGTTACCTTCTGGTCTTTTCTGCAGAATAATTATTTGATACAGAACTTTTTTCAGGATATTCATTCTTCTGCATGGACTTTGTCTTATTTAATCCTTCTTTTTTTCCCCTTTTGGTCTTTTGTAGGAAGAGCATAAAATTATTTAGTGATTTTTATTCGTCAGACTTGATAGTTGCTTCTTCTTTGGCATTACTCAAGGTAAGGTCTTGCCCTGTCCACAAAGTTTCTGTTTTTTAGACTATTGTACATGTCAAGGTTAAGGATGATTATTTTTGACTGGAAGATAACAACTTGTTCTTTATCAAAGTTTTTTACCTTCATCTTCAAAGATACTTCATTAATTGTGATTTCAAAACATGAATAAATTCATGAAAGAAGAGGATATATGATGCTTCTTCGTATAAAACTCTATGATGTGGCCTAAGACTTGTCTAATGGCCATGGCAAAAAGCCTTAGCATCCTTTAGGTTACACACTAATAAGGTGATTACTTGATAGAAACACAATATTTACTTTCTCTATTTCTTCCTTTCCTACTTGGGTAACAAAGAAGACGAGAAAGTGAGGCCGATGCATGAGAATCTTTTCCGAAGTGTTGTTGAATTCAATTTAAATAAGAGCTAAGGCAGCAGGAGTATTGGAGAGAGAAGTTGGTGGCAATATTGAAACCAACTGAAATGGTTTAACTAATTTTAAGATTCTTTTATTTCCTAACTTTAGTATTCCTCATCAACTAATCCCTACCTAAGACCAATAAACCGTAATATTGGCTAATTCACCAGATGCAGACAATTGTGAAGACTGCACTCAGCACAAAATCAAACTTCTGTGATATTCTTGTTCCCTTTCACCAAATGCCTTCTCTGCTGCTGCTGAGTTCATAGGCCCCAGGCGCAATTTGTACAGAAATGGAATAAATCCTCTTGGATGTTGATAGGTCATATTTATGTTCCGAGAAGCAATATATTTTCCAATTAGAATATTCAGTTCCCTTTCTAGTATGTGAAACAAAAATGTTGATGCAAATATTTGATTTTTTTTTGTCAATTGTTTGTCCTTTCAGACCAAAGTTTAATAATGCTATAGCGACTGTTTCTGAGGCACTGGGGGCAGTCATGATCTTTACTACCGAACTTTGTTTAATTGAAAAAAAAAAAAAACATATTTAAGAACTTTTGGGAGTTCCCAATTTCCAGCCTGAAGTCGTGAACACTTAAGCTGCCTTGCTTCTTAAATTGAGTTTCTTTCACATCATACTTATGATTCCACGGGGATAATTTTTTTTATATTATTTTCAAGTCTTTCCTCTTATGCAGAAGATTAGCAAATGTCTTGTATTTTTCTCTTAAGGAAACAACTGACAACATTTCATTATTCTCAGAAAATTGAGGAAGCTAAAAAGGACAAGGAAAAAGATGTAGATTATCTTTCTTCTATAGAGGTAAGTTCATTTACTTGTTTGTGACTGTGGCCTTAGATTTTGTAATTTTTTTTTCAATAATTAGAATGCTTAAAACTAATGGAATGATTATGTTGCATGGTAAATAGGTCCTTATCATTGATCATGCAGATGTAATAGCAATGCAGGTAGATCGTGAAATATGTTGGCTTGTAATTATTTATCTTTAATTGATTTTTATTTATGGAGTAGAATGTGATTACCATTTGTCCTTTTTGCTTTTTTGATGATGATATCCAGAATTGGACCTTTCTAACATCAGTTCTTGAACAAATGAACTGCATACCTTCTAAGCAGCATGGGACTGATATAATGCGCATTAGAAAGTGGTATGTTAACAGTTTCTTATATTTTTTCCATGTTGACCTGAAATTTTCACTTAGATGGGGATGGTGGATAATATTCTGTCATTTGCAGAATGTTAAATGATCAGCTTCGTTTTGGTCATTGCTGAAGTTGTTAGATAACATTTTAGAATGACTAATAAGTGTTTGCTTTTGTTTGCATTAAAATTTTTACTTTTTTCTTCTTTAGATGCTTTGTCTGATGATTGTTGTTTTTCGTGTTAAGGTATCTGGATGGTCATGCCAGATTTTATCGGCAAACAATTATTTTAGGTTGTTATGCAAACCCAGGTAATTTGATTCTCACTATATCTGCCACTACATTTAAAGATTTAATACTTTGTCCACTTAATCATTTACAGTAAATCAATGGTTTATGCTGAATGCTGTGCTCCCAGTGTTTTCCCTTACTCAAGCTTTTCCCTTCATCATGTAATTCAAGTGTAGAGGTGGAAGTTTACTTGGTTTAATTTTTGGGTCTGCAGCAATGTTTGGATGATATGCATCTATGATTGTAAAATATTTGTTGTTTTTAATCAATTGTGTGGATATTATTCACGCCAAGATACTACTGTATAACACCTCTTCTACCAACATTGATAATAAGTACAAATAATGCATATGTGGTTTCTCGTTCCAGATATTAATGCTTCCTTCAATCGCCAATGCGTTAACTACCAAGGAAAGGTATGTTAGTTGTTCTCCATGTTGTTTCTTATGCTTGCTGTTTACATCTTGGTTTAGGTTGGTGTTTTACACTGCCTTTGGGTTATTGAGTCTTAAGAGGCTGTTTTACGATCAGAAAGGGTGTAGAGATTAGAGAAGATGAGAAAGTGAAATTTTAGATAAACCTGTTTCCTCATTTGAAAGTGACCTTTTTGCGAAGAGAAAAAAAAAAATAGAAATTTAAATTCAACATTGTAAGGTATAGGTGAGAGCAAAGGGTATCCAACTATCAAGCAGTAAGCATATAGTCTCTCTCCGCCAATCTCTTTTTCTTCCTGTAGGTGGCAAACTAAATACAGCGTATATGAACGTTATTAGGCATTTCTTCCTTTAGGTAGCAAACAAAATACAGTGTATATGAATGTCATTAGTCATATGTATCACAAGCAGATCAACTGTAAACTTGTGCTTTTCTTCCATTTTTCAAAAACATTACAACCTTATGATTAAGCTTTATCTTTCCTCGATCTTAATTCTCATCCTCCAATAATCTGAAGTTGACAATATTATGAGGTTGGTTGTATGAATATGGAATTAGAGCTTGTTTGTATTGGTTTGTTATGTCAAATTAGATCCACAGCTTCCGCAAAAACAATTATTTTTAAACTAGAAAAACTTGATAAAGAAAAATAGATGAGTAAAGAGGCCTTTAACTTCAAACCTAGGTCTCAGGTGCCTAGCCAAAGGATGGATTTCTTGGATAGATCTCAACCAGCATCAAACATTAAACTTGCATGACTTTATATGGTCATGCTTTCAGGGTCTCCTACAGTCCTGGCCTCTGAGTTCATTGACAAGTTTACTAAACCTGGGATGGTTCCAATCAACCACAAAACTGATGTGATCTGACAAGAACCCACTGCTAAACTTTTGTGCCAGTAAAGCATATAAATCGTCCTGTATGGCAAGATCCAGCTGGTATTTTGCCAAATAGTCATATTTCCCTTTGAATCAGCTTTTTACATGCATTTTCCCCATGTCAGATTTGCTTTCATCAAACAAGAGCGTTTTCCTTCTGGTGTTTTTTAACTAATCTTGATATTGAGGTGGATTTGGTTTATGATGGCGCAGAATGTCACAATAGGATCCAAATAGCCAATCCCATTAAGGCTTTGTTTGTTGTTGTTGTTCTTGTGCTAATTTGTTTCTTTGTTATAATTTTTCATGATATGATTTATGTTTGCTGAGTCAAATGTGTTTTGCCAATTAAACATCATCCCACAAAACTGTTGATGACTTGTTGATTTGTTTCAGATTTTAATACACTCTGTATGTTGCTTTGCAATTTTTTTCTGATCACTGTATGCTACCTTGTTTGTGTATGCATTGTCGCTTATTTGAACATGAGAATCAAAAGAGTTTTGGATTTTCTAGAAATATAAATGAATTGTGTTGTTCTGCACTTTTTCATGTCAAAAATTGATAATTATGCAATCTTTTTATATAGTTGAATTATTTATTCAACTATCTTGCAAATTATTCGGTAGTCACCGTTTAAGTAATAATGGCAGGTAAAGTTGGTATGTCAGTATAATGGTGTTCTTCCAAAAGTCTCAGACCAAGTACGACAGGTATGCCTTCCTTGGCTTGTTTGTTTCATTTCTAAAATAGGTAGGTATATGATAAACGGGCCACTTTTAGATATAAAACAGAAATATAAGAAGAAAAAAACACAGTTTAACTTGGTTTGGTTATGAAGACCTACATCCACAGGAGAAAGGTTTCAACTCTTTATTTTTGTCATACTAAATACAGCAGCAGCAGGTTCCTTTTATAGTAGCCATATACATCAGAATAGAAAGCCACAATTTAGGAAAATTAGAATAGGAAATTAGGGCCATATTTCCTTCTGATTTTCTGTGATTACAGTGATTGATTTCTTCCCAAATAGGAAGATTTTGTTCCTCCTAAATTGGAGGCATATTTCCCACACTCCCCCTCAAGCTGGTGAATAGATATTGGTCATTCCCAGTTTGCTAAGATAGATATCAAAACTTGATTTCTGAAGAGCTTTTGTCAGAATATCAGCTTCCTGAGATTTGGTAGGGACATAGGACAGAACAATAATTCCATTGTCTATCTCATTTTTGATAAAATTTCTGTCAATCCTCACATGTTTCCTTTGATCATGTTGGACTGGATTGTGAACAACACTGATAGCTGATTTGCTGTCACTGAACAGCTTCATAGGGCTTGTTTTTGGCATGTTTAGGTCTGTCATTAACTTCTGAATCCAAATAAGTTCACAGGTTCCTTAAGCTATAGCTCTATACTCAGCTTCTACACTACTCCGAGCCACCATAGATTGTTTCTTGCTTCTCCAAGTCACTAGATTTCCTCATACCTTGGTACAATAACCAGTTGTTGACTTGTTATCATCAATACCTCTTGCCCAATCTGCATCTGAAAAGCCAACATCTCTAGCTTCATTTTTCTTAAACAGCAGACCTTTGCCAGGACTCCCCTTCAAGTATCTCAGAATCTGATTTGCCGCTTCCATATGCCTCTTAGTGGGAGCATGCATAAATTGACTTATTATATTTACACTAAAGGCAATATCTGGTCTTGTGAGTGATAAATAAATCAGTTTTCCTACCAAGTGTTGATACCTTTCTCTATTTACTGGGGGATCATCATTTGATACTTTGTGCTTCCAGTGTCTTTCCAAAGGTGTACTAGAAGGCTTACAACCAAGCTTTCCTGTCTCCTTGAGTAAATCTAGTGTGTACTTCCTTTGTGAGATGAAAATTCCTTTGCGACTCCTTGCGACTTCCATCCCTTAAAAGTATTTCAGTTCTCCTAGATCTTTTACCATGAACTCTGCCTGAAGTCTTTTCTTGAGATTGCTAATTTCCACTTCATCATAACCTGTGATCACCATATCATCAACATGTACAATGAGTATAGCTTGTTTACCCGACTCACTTTTCTTCACAAATAATGTGTGATTTGCTTGTTCTTGGTGGTACCCAAGACTCTTCATCACAGTGCTAAATCTTGTAAACCAAGCTCTAGGAGATTGTTTCAAGCCATACAATGATTTTTTCAATTTACAGACCTTGTTTACTTCTCCTTTCTCGAATCCTGGGGGATACTTTATATACACCTCTTCCTCCAGTGTACCATTAAGGAATGCATTCTTCACATCTAATTGATGTAATCTCCAATCCAGATTGGCAGCAATAGACAATAGGATTCGGATAGTGTTGAGTTTGGCAATTGGTGCAAAAGTTTCTTCATAATCAATTCCATAGGTCTAAGTGAAGCCTTGTGCTACGAGTCTTGCCTTCAACCAATCCACTTTTCCATCAGGTTTATATTTTACTGTAAAAACCCACTTACTTCTAACTACTTTCTTCCCTTCTGTTAGTTGCACCATTTCCCAAGTATTATTGTTTGTTAATGCCTTCATTTCTTCCAACACAGCCTTCTTTCCAATTAGGATTTCGAAGAGCCTCATCAATATTTTTATGAACTTGTATTTCATCAATATGGGCAATGAAGGCCTTAATATCTCCTGAAAGCTTAGAGTATGCAACATAATTTGAGATAGGATATTTAGGAGCTTTAGTACAAGTTCTTACCCCTTTCCTTAAAGCAATTGGAAGATCTAAATCATAAGGTTGTTCACCACCTGACTCATCCTCTTCGTCATTGCTGTTGCTAGAATCTGCCACCGGTTCAGACTCATGGGTTTGCATTGGAGCTCGTGGTCTCCTAGAATAGACTTGAATCGGTTTTGGATCAACATTATTCAACTCTCCCCCTTGACCAAGATCAGACCCTCCCTCTTGATTGGTTCCATTGGGCTCGAATATAGAAACCACTGGGTGTAATTGAAGGAAAAATTACTGAAAAGGTGGGATCCCAATGTTTATCTCCTTGAGTATCATTTTCCCCTTGGAGATAAATTTGGGAGTAGAAAGGCTGATTCTCTAGAAAGGTCACATCACAAGAAATAAAGACACGTTTGGTAGGTGGATGATAACATTTATAACCCTTTTGAGTAGGAGAATAACCAAGGAAAACACATTTCAGGGCTTTCGAATCTAGTTTGCCTCGATTAGGTTGAAGGTTATGAATAAATATTACACACCCAAAAACTCGAGGTTGAAGAGTATTATAGACTCGTGAAGTAGGAAAGACATATAGTAAAATACTAAGGGAAGTTTGGTATTTGAGAACTTTTGAAGGAACACGATTGATTAGGAATGCAGCTGTAAGGACTGCTTCCCCCAAAAGTGATTTGGAACCTGACGTGCAAACATGATGGATCTAGTCACTTCTAAAAGATGACGATTTTTTCTTTCAGCAATTCCATTTTGTTGTGGGGTAGACACACATGAACTTTGATGAACAATCCCATTTTCTTGGAGATAGTCATTTAGTTCATTAGGGTAATATTCTTTTGCATTGTCTGTTCGAAATATAAAAATGGATGATTGAAAGGCATTTGTAACAAGCTTATGAAATTGCTTGAAAATTCTTGTTACTTCTGATTTTTCCTTCATTAGATAGATTCAGCACACGGGTATGATCATCAATAAAAGTAGCAAACCATCGTTTCCCTGTAAAATTTTGTTTCCGTGATGGTCCTCATACATCACTATGAATTAAATGGAATGGACTTGAAGGTTTGTAAGGATGGGGAGGATAGGATGCACGTGTTTGTTTGGCAAGGATGCAATGTTCACATTGAAAACATGAAGGATTTTTATTGAAAAATAAGTGGGGATATAAATGTTTAAAATAATAAAAACTAGGATGACCCAATCTATTATGCAATAACTGAACATTAGAATTGGAAAATGATGACAAAACACTAGATGACCTAAAGCTTGAGGAGGGTCCAACACCCGACACATAATAGAGACCATGTCGCTCCTCAGCATTCCCAATCGTCCTCCCCGATGACAAATCCTGAAATTCACAATAAGAGGGAGAAAATGTCACAGAGCAATTCAGGTCCTTAGTAATTTTACCCACTGACAATAAATTACATTTTAATTCTGGAACATAAAGCACATATTTTAAATTCAGCCCATTTATGTCCAAGTCTTCTTTCCCTTTTGCTGTACATATAGTTCCATTTGCCACTGTAACTCCAAAATTCTCTCTACATGGTTTATAATTGCTCATCCTTACATTTGAACCAGTCATATGGTCAAAAGCCCCAGTATCTACTATCCAAGAATCATATTTTGTCTTGTATAATAAAAAAGGAACTGTACCTTTGTGAGTTGTTAGGGCTGAGGAACCAGTGGAATTAGAGGGAGCAGATTTGTATTCTTCTGTATTAGATTTCATCAATTTCTTGAGGACTTCTAATTGTTCAGTTGTAAACGGTTGAGGGTTTGCATCTATTGTTGTTTCAGCTGAATAAGCAACCTTCTTCCTCTGATTTCTTGGCTTCCAATCTTTAGGTTTTCCATGGAGATTCCAGCATGTATCCTTAGTGTGATATGGTGTTTTACAATGCTCACACCATACCTGTCCATCCTTCCCAAAATTAGCCCCCTTTGAATTGTTTTCCTTGCTTCGGTTTATTACCAAAGTTGATCCCTGCACTGTTGCCTCTACTGTTGTATTCGGCAGTGGCAATGACATCACCTTTCTCCTTGTTTCTTTGCGCCGAACTTTAGCAAAGACCTCCTTTAATGAGGGTAATGGTTATACCAAGTATTCGTCCCCTGACATCATCTAGTTCCTGATTTAAACCTTGCAAAAAATCAAAAATTCGGTCCTTTTCTAGCATTTTGCTATAGAGCACCCCATCATCAGCACATCTCCAAGATATATTGTGAAACATATCAATTTCTTGCCACAATTATGACATGTTATTGAAATATTCAGTAACAGATGATGTATCTTGGCGAATATTTCGAATTTTGGAACGAACCTCAAAACTTTGTGATATGTTCTCCAAATCTGAATACATATCTCTCACTGAATCCCATATTTCCTTTTCTGTTTGGTAGAATAACTACAGCCGTCCGAGTTTTTGGTCCATAGAGTTGATTAGCCATGCCATGACTGTAGAATTTTCAGCCTCCCAAACTCCATAATCAGATGACTCTAATGGTGGTGCCTTCTTTGCCCCAGTTAGATATCCCATCTTCCCTCTGCCCTTGATCACTAGTAAAACCGATTGATACCACTCCCTAAAATTACTCCCATTTAGTTTGTGAGAGGTGATTTGGATTGAGAAGTTATCGGTAGGATTGGGTAAAATTGAGGTTTGTGGGTTGACAACATGAGGGATCCTAATTGATTCCTCTGTAGTTAGGGTGGAGCTTGCCATCTATTCAGCTAAGGTTGGCTAGAGTTGGTTTGGTTCTTTGGCTAGAGGATAACCTGGCTCTGATACCATAAAACAGAAATATAAGAAGAAAAAAACACAAAGTTTAATATGGTTCGGTTATGAAGACCTACATCCACAGGAAAAGGTTTCAACTCTTTATTTCTGTCACACCAAATACAGCAACAGCAGGTTCCTTTTATAGTAGCCATATACACCAGAATAGGAAGCCACAATTTAGGAAAATTAGAATAGAAAATTAGGGCCATATTTCCTCCTGATTTTCTGTGATTACAGTGATTGATTTCTTCCTAAATAGGAAGATTCTGTTCCTCCTGAATTGGAGGCATATTTCCCACAAGATATCATTTGTTTGTTTCTATTCTTTCATTGGTTCCTTTTCAAGAAAATCAGGAAAAACAAAAACGAAGTAAAATCAGAAAACTCTGAAATGGATCTTCAGAGCCTTGGTGAAAATGTGAACCAATAGAATGCGGACCTGGCTCTCCACACACACGGGCACGCACACACACACACACACACTATATATATATTGAACAGTGATATTATAATGCCTCTTACAAGTATAACTATACAAGAATAGGAAATCAACTAAGTACTGCCTAATTAGGAAAACTAAATCAAATCAAACTAAATCAAATTTTTGACATTCTCAACACTCCGTCAAGTTGGCTTGAAGATGTCTTCCATTGCCAGCTTGCCAATCAATATGTCAAAATGTTTCTTTGTTAACCTTTTAGTAAGTATATCTGCAACCAGCTTTACTGTAGGAACATATGGCGTACAAATTAATCCACACTAAATTTTTTCTTTGATGAAGTGTTTATTTACTTCCATGTGCTTTGTTCTATCATGAAGAACTGGATTGTGAGCAATTGAAATTGCTGTCTTGTTGGCACAATAAACCTTCATTGGTGAAGGATTTGAAACCTTCAATTCTTCTAGTAGTCTCTTAATCCAAAGTACTTCACATATCCCCTGTGCTACTGATCTAAGCTCTGCTCCTAGCAACCACACTTTGTTTATTGTTGTGCCAAGTAACTAGGTTGCCTCCAATAAATGTACAGTAGCTAGAAGTCGATCTCCTGTTTGTGGCATCTCCTGCCCTGTCAGCGTCAGTGTATACTTCAACTTGTAGATGTCCCCTTTTCTTGTACAACAATCCTCTTCCAGGAGTCCCTTTCAGATACTTAAAGATCTTGTACACAAATTCAAAATTCTCTTCCTGGTCATTGCATGAACCCACTCACTACACTAACTGCAAAGGATATATCTGGGCGAGTATGAGACAAATAGATTTGTCTTCCAACAAGTCTTTGGTATTGTTTCCTGTTCTTCACTTCTTTGGGTTTGGCTGGTTGGAGCTTTAAGTAGGGCTGAATTGGAGTCTTAGTTGTCTTGCATCCAACTAAACCTGTTTCACCAAGCAAATCAAGAATATATTTACGTTGGTTAACAAATATTCCCTCGTTTGATCTAGCAAATTCCATCCCAAGAAAGTACTTTAAGGGGCTCAAATCCTTGATTTCAAAATTCTCAGCAAGTTTCTTCTTAAGGTTCTTAACCTTTGTATTGTCATCACCTGTTAGGATGATATCATCCACATAAACAATTAGGATAGCTATCTTCCCATTAGTTGAGTGTTTGTAAAACATGGTGTGATTTGCTTGACTTTGGCTATAACCATGGCCTTTGACAATTTTCCCAAAGCGTTCAAACCAGGTGCCCTAGGAGACTTTTTAAGGCCATATTGCAAACTTTGTTGCTGTCAAGATTCTCTTTAAAGTCAAATGGTAAACTTCCAAGTCCCCATTTAAGAACGCCTTTTTTATGTCCAATTGGTGTAAGGACTGGTCGGAATTTTTGGCTACGGATAGTAAGACTCGAATGGAGTTTATTTTTGCTACTGGGCTACATGTCGCTTGATGATCAATTCCATAAGTCTGCATGAAACCCCTAGCTACAAGTCTTGCCTTGTACCTGTCAACGCTACTATTGACATTGTATTTGATGGTGAAAATCATTTGCATCCTACAACCCTCGTATCATTTGGTAAGTCAACTACTTCCCAAGTACCACTCTTTTCAAGAACATTTATCTCTTTCATAACTGCAAAGTTCCAATTCGGATCATCTAGGGCTTCTTTAAAGTTTCTAGGAACAAACAGGTTAGATATCCTCAATGTATATGCTTTTCAAGAGCATTGCAATGGGATGTTGGGTATATGTTCTAGTCTCTTTTCTAATAGCTACAGGGATAATAAGATCAGAAAATTCTTCTTTAGAATGATCATTTGGAGATAAAAATGAAATGAGATTACCTTGGGTTGGAAATGAATTTGAGTCTCCCTAGGTTTCCAGACTGCCATTGCTCGGAAATTCTGACTGAACTGGTGCTTGGATCATGGATGAGTCTTTGCTACCCTTTTTGGTCCTTCCCTTAGTATAAACCAGAAGTTCAGTATTTGATTTATTTTGTTGTGGTATTTCTCCCCCTGTTTGCGTGAGATCTATATTAGGTTGATTTCCTTGGTTGAGTGTTTCCTGAATATGTGGAAATGATTCATGCAAATTTCGTGATGAATGGGAAATTATAGGATCCAAAATTGTGTGTGGCAAAGCATCAGTAGAAACTTGCCAAAAATTGTTTTCCCTTGTAAGTTTCTCTCCTTGAAGAGAATTTTTTCTATATTGAATAGTGATATTACAATGTCTCTTATAGGAATGACTGTACAAGATAGGAAATCAAGTAATTAAGCCTAATTTTCCTAATTTAGATCATTGACCAAATCTAAATTTATAGCTCTTAATTATAGGCAGAAACTAGGAAACTGAATCAAATCAAACTAAATCAAATCTCTGACATTATCAACAATATATGTATGTATATATGTGTGTATGTATGTATGTACAGAAGAAATTTTGTTCGAGGAGATATAGTTACAAGGAGGAGGATCCTCGTCGAAACAAATGGAAATATTAATACAGAACAGCCTTGCATTATGATTCTATAAAAAGCTATTCTACCCCAAAGCTACAGTCTCAAATTGGAAGAGTCCTTACAAATTCGGGAATTTCTCTTCATTCAATTACTTAATATGCTGACAAGCATAGCACATGCTTCGAACAAGTTGCAACACTTGCCTTTCTCTGAACCTACAAAGAGCAGCAACATGTCCTCCCTATTGTTCGGGACCACTCAAGAGTCACCTCCAAATTCCAGTAGCAAATTGTTTCAAGGCTATATTCTTTTGTTTTATGAATTCCATTATTAGAATAATGGCACCATCTTCTAACCAATCATATTGCTTCCTTTTTCCTTAAAATTTCTAACCAAATCTTTTTATCTTTTCTGTGGGATAATAAGTTGAAAACCAGGATAAAAAAAAACATAAAGCTGTGCATCATAAGAAAATCTGTACATGGGCTGCATGTGAATTTATTTTTTAACAAGATATATGCCATAGTTGAGGTCACCTGCATTGTTAAGGACAGTTATATTATAGAAAGAATAACAATGACAATAATTATAAAATAATGATGATGAAAAATGGGTCCTGAGTTGCTTGTTTGATTTAGTTTGTCAGTAGGAGTTTAACATGTTCCAAAAGCTCAATCCCTTATTGGTGTGGGGACCCATGCTCTGCGAGAAGAGATCTAACTAGTGAACTGTTTCTATTGGAAATGGGCCTACATTAAATAACTGGAAGAATGCTTATAATGACAACGATGGTAAAGGCACTTTCACGTTGTAGGTGGTAAAATCAAATCAGGTGTGTTCAATAATTAATGGGATGACAGAGAAAAAGCAAGGGCGACATTGTTTGTCCAAAAAATATTGGGTGAAGGTTGCTCATATTTTGATACAGCATAGGTTAGAATTATATACATTTGTTTATACTACACACTCACTGGTTTTTTCAGATTAAAGAAAATGTTTACATGGTTTTCTAGTGGTTTCCAAATGGTTTAATGCAGTGTCATAGTTTGATTGCTCATTGAGAAATTTTAGCAGTTCTTAACTATGTTGCCTTGTTACAAGATAACAAGTTTGCATTTCTGATGTACGACTGAAATCTGATTCAACCATTTAGTTTTGTTTCAATTCTAAATGCTTTTGTTCCTCTTCATCCTTGAAGATTTATCAGCGATTTGGTGCAAACACTGTGGCAGAAGCTGACAATGCTCGACTTGAGTACTTCGTTCAGAAGGTCTATTTGGAATAATTTTTTTCTTTTATATATAGTTATTTATTTCAACTGTGTTTTTTTTTTTTTTTTTTTTATATATTTTGTGTGGATAGAACATATTATAGCCTCTCTCTCTCTCTCATCATAGGTAATCTGCTGTTTACAAATTGTGACTTGATTTATTTCATATAAAGTTTGCCAGCTCCTTCTAATGAACCTGCAAGATGTCAAGATATTTAAAATAGCTTTTGTAATTGCACCGATGAAGTCTCTAGGTTATAACTATTGAACAAATGAGACACCCAGGATTCAAGCTTGCTTGCATTTGCCCACCCTTATATTCAAGCAAGAATATTTGTAATTATAGCATTTAACCATCTGGAGGAACAAGTCATCAATATGCTACCTTATCCTTAGCTTTTGGTGTAAGATGGAAACAGACATGCAACCACTTTTTTAACTGTGCACACTCACCCACTCATGCACTCATGCACACAAGTGGAGGGGGGTTTCTCGGGGACAAGAAAATGGATAGGCATTCCAAGAATACTGCGATTAATTAGTACAAGCCTGCCTTCTCATTTGCAACGAGTACCAAGATGCTGATAATTTTTCTGATGCAGGTATTCCCAAAAATTAAAGACTCGGATGAGGTATATATATATATATTGATCAATTTTAGCACACACTTCCTTTTAGATAGCTGTCATTGTTATATTTTCATGAAATTTCTTGCAGGGGGGAATTATGCTATTTATTAGCTCGTACTATGAATATGTTCGACTTCGTAACTTCTTGAAGTCACAGAATGCATCCTTTTGTCTGCTTGGAGAGTAAGAAGCTTTTCTTTTTATTTCTTGTTTTATTTCTGTTCATTATCGGTCTTGCATTAGTCAATATCACTTTCCACTTTAGGTTGCAATTACAATAACCCACATTGGATTTGATCTTTAGCTACACAGAACCAAGGGACGTCACTCGCATTCGGAATTGGTTTCGTAAAGGAGAAAAGAAAATCATGCTTTACACAGAGAGATTTCATTTCTACCGTAGATATAAGGTTCTTAAACCTGGCCTTTTTTTTTTTTCAACTGCTGGTTTCCATTTTCACACACAACTGCTATGTCTATTTCTATTAGTCTTCTTCCTGTATGAGACTGGTGTTTAGCAATATTAAAATCATGGATCCTTTTTTTTCATGGTGAGTAGATTGGTGGTGTTCGAAACTTGATCATCTATTCTCTTCCCCAGAGGAAGGAGTTCTTCCCTGAGGTGAGTGTTTCCTGTAAAATTGGTTACTTTTTCAGTCATTGGTCTGCAAATTCATTGAAGCTTAACTTTGAGGTATAACTTTGAAGTGAACTATGTTTTCGCTTTGTGTGAAATCCATTTTTGTTCACTTTGAAACCTTCAAGATTGCTTTTTGTTTTTTGTTTGTTTGTTTGTTTAAATTTTTTTTTTTTAGCAGGTTGTCAACATGCTTGAAGGGGCTGATGACATGACATGCACTGTGCTCTTTTCTCAATTTGATCAACTCCAGGTAGCCTATAGATTTATCTTGGATCTGTTAGTACACACATGCTGTGCAAAGTTTTATTTTATTTATTTTCTATTTTGGGTGCGTTGCATGCATGTGTGTGGGGGTGATGGAGGGAACATAGTATCTTCTACCTTCCAAACCCTTGTTCACGTATATAGTTTGTTGATACAATCTATTCTGTTTTTGGATGTCTTAGCTGGAGAGAATTGTTGGGACTACTTCTGCAAGAAGGATGATCACGTCAGAAAAGGGTGTGTTTGTGTTCTGTTGAAAGGGTTCTCCGGTTTCTCAACGATTTTCCATGTGCAACATGGTTGGGCAATGAAAAACATGGGTTAAAACCTAAAAGGTTCCTTTTTGGAGAAAAACCTGGACCTGACATGAGATTCCATGGGAAAAGGAGCAGCTTAAAAAACTACCGCAGAGATCAAATTTACAAGAGAACTATTCCTTTGAGAAACAAAAGCTAGCCTCAACGGATGGAAATGGAATTATACATCCATTTTGCTTCGTTTTTTATTACGATTATTTTTATTATTATTATTTTGTTCTTTTCTTTATAGAATTTTTATTTGGGTTCCTTAGAATGGTTGGTTCGGAATTAGAATCACATTGTCTTCGTGTCAGTTCATGCCTTGCTGTAACAGCATGTTTGTTCTATATTTAATTCACATTTTAAACAAATTTCTTTGTATTAAAATTTTGGTTTTAAAACTGAATATTTCATCAAAATAAAAGGCCTCTCCTGTTAGCTTTTCAATACAAAAATTTTCAATTTAACTTATCCTTGTGGTTTTTTTATTCATCATTTTTCTCGTTTCTCTTATTGTCTTCAGGTTTTTCTTGTTAAGAGCCTCAGCGTTTCCAATCTAAAAACCTTTAGTTATTTTTACTTTTGGATGTAATTTATTGTTCTTTATTTTGATTATATTTTATGTGAAATTTATATCCGTTTGATTTGAAAAAATAATTGTAGTGTCCAAAAAAAGAAGAAAGAAAAAATCTTTAGTAATTATGACTAAAACGAAATTTTATTACCTTTCAGCGTTTCCAATAAAGTTAAATGGTTAGATTTTGCTGTTGGGTTTGATGATCCTTCTTTAGTATTATGCTTTAATAGTCATTTTGGTTTAATAAATATAAGTATTTGTTTTCAATTCCAATAAATAATATAATTTTATTTTGTTTAAAAAATTGTGTGGAATTATCTGTTAGGTGCGATCGTATTACATACTTGCTTAGTTTCCAATTTCTTTTAAACAAAAAAAAAAAAAAAAAAAAAAAAAAATTTAAAGACCCTTAAAGTTCAAAGTGAAATTTTTTTCTCTCCAAAACCACTGATCAATCATTCAAAACCCAACGAGAGATCAAATTGAACGATTACATAATAATGCTAATAATAATGATAGTCATCAAAAGTATCAGGTATGGAGGAGGGCAGTATAGAAATTAAAGAAGATGTTTAGGGACAAACCGGCCTTTTAGAAACCAAACCCTAGGTGTCTATAATATAAATACCACACACAGACCACTAGCGAGCCGTCTCTCTCTTTTACTCTGTTTGTTGCAAAGCAAATTTAGGGTTTAAGGAGAATCAAATCGTAATCAAAATGGGAGTTTTCACGTTCGTTTGCAGGAGCTCTGGTAAGGAGTGGAGCGCCAAGCAGATCTCTGATGGCGATATCGAGGCCTCCGCTTCCTCCACCTTCGAATTGCAAAGGAAACTCGTCCAGTCTGCTCTGTCCGCTGATTCCTCCGGTGGCGTCCAATCCTCTTTCTCTTACGTCACTCCTGCCTCCGCCGTTTTCCAGGTACTCATCATCTCTCTCGCTTTTTTTTCTTTTTTGCTCTAAATCACAATTAGAATTTTTTGGTCGTTTTGTTTTTCAAATAGTTTTTAGGCTAGAATGTATGTGTTTCTAATTGAGAATGTAATTTAGGTTGGTTTAATTAGGGTTTATAGACGAAAACAATTGTCATATGAGTGTGCAAAATATTTGTGGATCTGACATTTGATGTCAGTTTTGGTTGTTGTGTCTAATGAGGTGAGTGAATTTTGTTTGATGCAGGTGATCATTGGTGGCAGCTGCGGTGGAGCCTTCTTTGGCGGCGGCGGCGGAGGTGCAGCAGCCGCAGCTCCAGCAGCAGCGGCAGCTGATGCACCTGCTGCTGAGGAGAAGAAGAAGGAAGAAGAGCCAGAGAGTGATGACGATATGGGATTTTCTCTTTTTGATTAGAAGCGTATGCCTAGTTACTGTGTCTTGTTTATCTGTTTCGTTTCTTTCTGTTCTGTTTCACTCATGTTGCAAAATTTTACTAGACCTGGTGGATTGGATTTAGATCAGAGTAAGTGTTTTTGTTTTCTTTTATCAGAGACGGATATATTCAATGAGTTCATATTTAGCATTTTTAAGCATCTGGTTGTTGATTGGATGTGTCTTGGCTCTTGTGAATTTCTTCAGTAAGTTCTGGATTTAATGGGTTTTGTTATGGAGAAACTGGTTCATGTGTTACTAATGGTGTATGTGAGATTCGACATAGCTCCGACCTGTGATTTTAATAGCTTAATTTTACAAGAGATATCCTTAATAATAAGTTTTTGATTTTTAAAGCTTCCAATATGTGGTTGAAGGAGAAACTAATGAAATAGGACGATCATCAGTACTGCTAATGCTTTTCCCCTGTAGTAGGTCAGCAAGTTTGTTCTGATGTTTGTACGTTACCGCAGCTCTATCTTGGTTTCATCCATCTCCGCCACAAACGCTCAATGGTAACAGAAGTACACAAGTTGAAGCAGCTGTGGAGTTCAAAAATTTGCTGCATGACTAAGCATAGTGGAAGGTCTTTGTCTGAATAACATGGCACGTTTCGAGGACAGCTTTTGGTTGGAACGTTCTAAGTGGAGGAAATGACGAGGCCTGGCGGGTTCTTGTAGATGTGTTTAAAAAGTATCTAGATTGTTTCGTTTTACGTTTAGTCGGCAAATTTGGCTGGCTAGCAGTGCGTGCTTGCATTTGTGTAAAGACTGAAGAATTGAAATGGGCCTTTGTAGAGAACCATATGTCCCAACAATACTTTGAGATTCCCGAACAGTCTCTTGGAGCTCAACCGGATGTAACTGGTTGCAAACCCGGCAAAGCTTGATAGGGTGGTGTCATTTGTGACTGCAAGGATAAATGAATCTGGCAACCTAGATACCGCTACGGTAATGTTGGCAGAATTGTGTGTGGGCAACTAGAGAGGGTGGGTCTGCTTATTTTTCTCCGGTTAGAGATATCAACGCTTTTCTTCCTCCCGTCTCTCATGCCAATGGCTCATCAACTATGTTTGGCGCGACGGATTACCTTGTGCGGATTAGCAAAAATGGGTAGCTAGCTTGGTGCGGATTATAAAAAATGGTAGCTCCGAGACCCGTTTGAAACTTGAAATAAAAATCGAGCTGTTAAAAAAATAAAAATGCCTTGTTCGTTTTAGTGGATATATATATATATAGAGGAGTTGAAATGTGAAATGGGTAAAACCATACTTGCGTGGTGAGTCCTAATTGAAACTTGAGAGAGGCATGTTTAGGTTATAAATCGTTGATAGTGATCCTTGAAAACTTACCATGTCTTTACTATTTAGGTCATCATCAAGATCTTCATTCTTTCTACTATCAGGCATGGCTAGTACTTTAGGATCTAATAACAAAACTATTTTAGTAGAAAACTTTGATAAGCAGTTACAAGAATGGAAATTACCAAACACTTTTGCAAAAACAATGTAAAAAGGTTATCTTAATTTTTTAATTGGTTATGTTATAAAATCAGTGGAACAAACCATACCTCCAAAAGAAGGGTATGAAACATTCCAATTATTATCTAAGAGACTAATTGAGTCTCATAAACAAAAATATAAATATTTACATCTTGGCATAGCTCAAGTAAGGTTAAAACCCTTGACAAGGACATGACTAAATACGTCCGTCCTAGTTCTAGTAAAAGATCAAAGACGTAATGTCTTTGAAGATTCCTTATTAGGAATCATTAAATCTACCTTATGTGATGGATCCATCCACTTCGGATGCTTTTCGAACTTCACGATCTCTTTTACGGACTTTATCTTTTAAAAGCCTTGACCTTCAACATCAAAACAATGGTTTTGACATGTTTGCAAGATCTAAAAATGTTGCCCTAATCTATAGGGTTTGTTACAAGGTAATGAATACGTTAGCACCTAATATCGAGCGAACCTCGGAACTAATGAGCTCTAAGAAAGAAACAACCACCATGTTCCTTACAAAGGTATCTAAATCCAATCTAGTGGTCCTAAAGACAATTGAGTGGAGTCAAGTCTCTTTACCGGAGACTTCAAAACTTAAACGAGCAGACTTCCTCTAAAAAAAATAACCCGAGCCCTAGAAAAAATTACTTAGTTTGTTGATGGAGATATAGAAATTTCTTTCTCTCCTTTTAGAAAAATCAAACTAAACTTAGGTAACCAATCTAGAGCCTTATCTTTCGCATTCTCAACTTCATATATCCCTATCTCGTAAATGAGAAGGAGTCGATATCCGACCTAAATAGGTCCGGATCCTAGTTGAGTCGCCCTCAATATCGGGTTGAACTAACACCTTTTAAAGCATCATTGAAACCTAAAAATAAGCCCTTATCACTAACAATGTTAGACATAGGTTATAATATAGCCACCTTCCAATAGGGAATAATATTCGCCTCTCCTCATGTGGCAAAATTGTTTAATGATCCTAAAAAGGATTATCATAGCAAATGGTTCTTAAATCAATTCGAAAAACAAAACTATTACTCGAAGATGTACATGGAACATGTTTCCATAACTCGAGTAGGGTTAAACTCTTTTAAGTGGTTAAGATAGTTATTTGAATACAATAACAAAACATGCCTAGATTTCAAAGACATTAATTTTCTAGCAACTCTAGAGGCTCCTTACCAAAGTTACTGGACTCAAACAAGGCCTATTAAGGCCCTACACCCTTCGAGTCTTCTCTCTTAATTTCAAAAGGAGAGAAATTTGCCTAAATAACTCTCTATAAGTTTGAGGTAAAAGATGATTTTGAGAACCAAATCATCCAACAAAACAATTACACCAACCTTTACCTCCAATCTCTAGGCAAGCAGACAACTGGAATAGAGCAATCTATTTAACAAAGCTAAAAAGGTTATCTTCTCCGAGGTAAAACAATCAATTCAACGAACCTAATAAATTGCTTTTGAAATAAGAGAGTCTTCCAAAGCACCACAAGACTCTATTATGCTAAAACCAAGTATTGTAATACCCTTGACCAAAAACCTCATGAATAATTATATATGTATGTATAGAAGAAGGAAATAATTTAGAATTTATTTAGTAAGCATGGATGATTAATTATTGAGATAATAAATTTTTGGGATTTAATTGAATTGTTTTTAGGAAATTGTAAAGGTTAAAGGTGTAGCTATTTAATTTAAATAATTATGAAAATCAAGAGATTAATATTAATTTGGAAATCACTTTAAATGAGGGATGGATTCTTGTAATGAAAAATGAGGAAGCCAAATTATAGGGGTGTGATTGAACGAAATTATAAAGTCGATGACTAAAGTGATGATTGTTGGTGAAATGGAGGAGCATTTAAACCAGCCATTTGGTTAAAACTTATTCTAAAAATTTAGTTTAGAAACTGAAATTCTAGGTTTGGATCAATCGATTAAAAATAAAAAACAAGAGCAAAAAAGGAAGAAATGCTAAGGAAGGAAGAGAGAGATATAAGAAATTAAGATAACCCCACCCAAATTCCACCTAAAATCAACACTAACCCACCCATAAAACCTTATTAGAAAACCTAAGGAAGCAAGCATAAAGAGAGGGAAGGAAAGGAACCTTGGCCAAAACCAAGAGGAAGAAGAAGGAGGGAAGATTTTTCAAGGATCAAATGAAACTAAGTATCAAGGATACTCATGCAAGTGTAACTTCAACTTACCATAAGACTTAGGAGATTATATATTAAATTGATGCAATTATGCGCTTAGAACCTTAGAATTTCAAATTATATAATTGAATGATCCGTGTTCAATTGATGTTTGGTTTATGCAATTGAAGATTAATTGAACATTTGTGATGATCATGGATAAGTGTGATCTCACCCATATTACAAGTAGTTTAACGCTTTGAATGATTAATTTTTATTTTGTTATGAATTGAAAATTTAGATATTTATATGAAATTGTATGATTGGTGATTGGTTGGTACTCGTTGAGTGATTAAATGGAAGAAGAAAAAGCTTAAGGAATGGGTTCATTGGGATGAACCATTTCGACTAAGATTAGAAAGAGTAAGGAAAAATTTATGTTGTAGAAAATTGATGTAACTAAAGTATTTGATAAAATGTGTAAACCATGTTTTGACTTGAAACTAAAAAGAAACTTGATGAAATTGAAAGACTGGTTAGGTTTAATAGGTTTAGCCAACTAAAAAAGTAGAGTTAAATGTGTATGTGTATGCATTATGAATTAAAAGACGATTAAGTAAGGTTAAGTAATGATGTTTTATAGTTTAAGGAGAAGAAATCACTTGACTTTTTGGTATAAGGCCATTTAGCCAAGTCCTAAAAGTAAAGGATTGTTGAATTGGATGGTTAGACCATGGAATCTAGAGACTTTGACCTTGGTTAGTTGGAGTTAAATGCATTGAAATAGAGAGTCGGGATAGTCTAGCTTAGGAAGTAGATTAGGCCATTAACCAGTGTGACTTATATTAGAACGAATGATTGAGGAAAGTTTCTCTTGATTTAATGGATGAAACATTCGACCAAGAGAGGAATATTTGAATTATATGTGTAATGCTTTTGGTTGTGATGAATTATAATGAATATGTATGTTTAAGAAAAATTTCTCTTATTTGAATGGATGAAATATTAGGCTAAGAAAGAAACCTTTGAATTATTACCTAAAGGTTCATGCTCGTGTTGGATTGTGATGAATATGTATGCTTGAGGATGAATGGAAATGAAATGGCATGCAAATGATTGATTAAGTCATTGTTATATGTTTTCGTTGATGAAAATCATGACCCCATACTTTAAAATCCCTTTAAACTTGTCTATGAGGTAAAAAAAGTGCATAACATGAGAGGAAAAATGAACCTATGGCTGTGTGTGTTGTGACACATGGCCGAAGCAAAACACACAATTGTGTGTGTCAAACCACACGACCGTAAACTGCCTAGAATGATTTTCTTTTAGTAATCAGCTTAAATAGACTAGATTCATACTGATTTAGAGTTTTTATCCTTCATATAATTTGTAGCCCTATCTATTAGCTTTTTAAAATATCAATTCTTAATTCATTTGGAGATCCACAACTATTATTATAGGTTAAATACTACAAATGACTCGAGTATATCTATCCAGACTTGAGAATTTCAACTTAGTAATTGAATTACTCAATCGAATGACCTAATTTGGACTTAAGACCTTTATAAGAATTGTAAAAATGCGTCTTAAGTACTTCATGGGCTTAGACTTGCACCAAATGGAGTTTCAAAGCTCTAGATGTGAATTAAATATCGTAACGCATCTAGACTCTAAATGGAATTCGAAACAAGTTTCTAGATCATAATACAAATACATGGTTTTACTAAATATGGAGTCTTTAGTTGAATGATATGAAGGGTAAGGTTGATGGAGGATGATTCAACCTAGGTAGGCTTAATGAAGAATTCTATAATTATGTCTTGTGATAAATTTGACTAATGGTCAAGAAATTGTTTAAGATTGTCATGGCTTAATGGGTTCGAAGCTAAGAGAAATAATTGAGGTAGCTTGAATTATATTCATTATTGATTTTATCTTAATGTTGAATGGTTATATGCTTAGGGTGCTATGTGAGGGATTTGACCATGTGCTACTTTAAGTTATGTTCATAAATTATTGATGACATATGAATTGTAACATGGTTAGTAGGCTTGATAATATTAGGCCCGATCACATGATGTGGAATGTATTCGGGAATGACTTAATGCTATATGATCCATGTTCATGTTTACGCTTGATATTGTATTCTAATTGTATTTATGTCATGAAATGTTGTATGCCATGATTTCAATCATTCAAGAAAAGGACATGTACATGATTTTATCGAGACTTGATT